AAACAGTATTGAAGAAAATAAAGCAAAGCAGAACCTCCCACCCCATGGCTTTTATAATCAGGGATAAAATGAACAGTCTGGAAGTGGGGGGCTCGGCACCCCAGCTCCTAAGGACGGACGGCACCGCCTGGAGCCGGGTGGACAGGTGGGGACCATGCGCCCTCCCTCGGGCCAGCTTCCGTTTCTCTCCAACAGCTTCACCCTTAGCCCAGGGAGTCCGAGGGAGGCGGAGAGAGCCCCGTGCATTCGGTCCCATCCTGGGCAGAGACCAGACGGTGAAGACGGGAAAGTCCAGACGCTGCAGGCCCTGCAGCAACTAGCTGGTGAGGTGGTGTGTGCTGGGGAGGGGGAGAGATGGAGGCAGGCCAGGCGGGGCCTGAACCCCCGCACCAGGTGGGGACTGGGCGGGGGAGCCCAGAGTGAATGAGCAACTTCCCAGACATGACCTCCACGAGGACCCATTTTACTGTCCCCATTTTTAAAATTGTGCCCATTTTACCGATGGGGAACTGAGGCACAGAGACGTTAAGTGACCAGCATGAGAGATGCCCAAATGCATTTGGGTGACACTGACTCTGATACAGGCCCACACCAGAGGCTTGAGTGTTGGAACTAGATGTCCCTTACTCAGGCACCAGAGATGGGGAGGTCCAGGGATGGGTGCGACTGGCTCCCCAGGTGTAGTAGCCTCCTGGCTCTGATCCTCCCCTTTGCTCTTTCTCTCTCTCTCACTCTCCTCCCTCTCTCCACAGTCTTCCTCCTGTGGTGCCATCAGAAGGAACAGGCCAGGAAGGATAGGAGTGTCCCAGGGGAGGCCACCGGGGCCACCCAGAAGACCTGGAGGACAGGGAGGCCCCCCCCAGCCTGGCACTGTCACGCTACACACGCAGCCCGTGTGGACCCCCAGCACCAGAGAGCCTGGCTGTGCAGGTAGGGGCCCCCTTCCCCTCGTGTCAGCTCCTGACTCCTGGTATCGAGAGGCGAGCATCCAAGTAAGAAATGAACACGGCTGCTGTTGCCTGGGCAGGCCTGAGACATGCCGGGCTGCAGGGGCTGGGATTTGGCCATAGCACAGGTTAGCGCCGGCCTCCCACCTCTGCCCACCATGGTCGTGGAACCCGTGGCCAGTGGGGGAACAGACAGGAAGTGAGCAGTCACAGGTGTGGCAGGAAGGAACACAGATCTCTGCGTTTTTCCCCCTGGTGGTTAATGTTTTATTATGGGGCACTTTTATCTTACACAAAAGTAAAGCGGATAAGACAATAAACCCCAGCGTGCCGATCACCCAGCTTCAACACAGTCAACCTCCTAGGAAAGCTTGTCAGATGTGTCCCCAATGCGTCCCCCTCCAAATCCCAAACATCATACCATTGCATCCCTAATACTTTTATGTGCATTTCTAAAAGGCAAGGACTCTAAAAAAAAAAACAAAACAGCCACAATACCATTCTCACACCTAAAAAAATGAACCATGATTCCTTAACACCCACAAATATCTGGTCAGTTTTCAAATTTCCAGTTGTTTCGCAGCATGTATGGTGTCAGAGTTTGCGTGGAGATCCACTCGCTGAGAGTGGTCGATGCGTCGTTAACGTCTTCTCAGTCTGTGGGCTCCCTCCATTTGTTTCTCTTGCACTTCATTTGTTGAGGAAACCAGGTTGCTTGTCTGGTGGAGTTTCCCACTGTTGGCCTTTTGCTGGTTGCATCCGCCTGGCCTAGTTTTCCCGGGAACTTTAACACACGGAGCTGACCCGACCCGGCTCAGCGGGGTGTGCAGGAGGAGCACATGCTCGGGCCTCTGGTGCGGAGCGCGCACACTCCAGGGACAGCTGGAGCCTTGTCAGTCCAGGCTGGGGGGCCGGGGGGCTGGGAAGGTCCCTGGGGCCAGATCATGCAGGTCCTTGTAGGCTGTGCGGAGGGGTTGAAATGTTATAAGAGCAAGGGAGCTGCTGCCGGAGGAGGTAGCAGGAGAGTAGGATGATGTGATTTGACATTGCGAAAACACCGCTCTGGTTACTGAGTAGGAACTGACAGCGGGGGTCAAGCCTGGATGCCAGTGGCCAGGCTGGAGGCCGCTGGGGCCATCCAGGTGCCCAGAGGTGATGGTGTCAGGCCTGAGCAGGTGGCACGCCATGCATCCTCACAGCAGCCCCATTTGACAGATGAGAAAACGGAGGCTCAGAGAGGCGGTGGCATGCCTGAGGCCTCGGTAGTGTGTCTGGCAGGCGGCTGCAGCTGCAGCCATCGGCCCTTACCATCGGCCTGGGTACTTTGTCCCAGGTGCTTTGGGGCCTGGCAGCGGTTCGTGCAAAGAGGGTCCCGGTACCGGAACCACCTGGCCGACCGCCAAGCGGGGATCCTGAGGACATGCCTGGGACGGTGGGTGCAGATGAAACAGCTCCGGGTCTCAGATGGGGCAAAGGTGACCCAGCTGTCCCTGTGCCTGCAGAAGTCAGGTGAGTAATGATGGGCCGAGGGGCTCCCACCCCAGCAGACTGTCGCTTGAGCCCCTTCTTCAGCGGGCCCCAGTTGAATGTGTGGATTCTTGTCGCTGGAGGTGGTAGAACTGGGGGCTTTCCAGAGTGCGGCCTGCGGGCCTGGGAGGGTCCGGGAGGGGTCCCCAGAGTGGGCAGGCCTTGGCTGGGACACATCCCCACCCCCCATCACGAGCTGCTCTGGGCGAGAGAGACTCTGTCCCATCTCCCACCACTGCAGGTAGCCCTGCTTATCTCATGTCCCGCCCGGAAGGGACGTGTCCTTGCTCTTGGGAAGCTTTTGTTCTGATGGGGGACACACAGCCCTGCCCCCACCCCAAGACCTGACGGGGGAAGGCGGGATCTTTGAGACCTCCTGGAAGGGGGACGGTCTGGAGGTGGTGGGTGGGGGCAGTGCCCGTGAGGGAGGAGGTCCCATGGGGGCCTGAGGCAGCAGCTACCGACAGCTCTGGGCAGAGGGAGGTCGGCGGGGACCTGCCTGACTCACCTCTTGACTGCTTCTCAGGGCTCATGGTCCTCTGCAGCTCAGGCCCTGGAGCCACCAAGGTGCATGGCTTGGGGGCAGTGGCCCAGGCGCAGAGGCTGTCCCAGGAGCAAGGCCGGGGCTCCCTGCAGGAAGCCTGCCAGAGACTGGCCCTCCACCGGGTGATGCTGCTCTGGAGGACGCGGCTCTCCCAGCGCCAGCGGGCCGAGTAGGTGTCGGCGACCTTGTGACCTAGGGTTGGGCCAGGGCCTGGCACAGTGCGGTACCTGGCAGATGCCGGGTCCCAGGAGGTGGCCTAGGGACACTGAGACTGTGATGGAGCAGAGAGCCACTGGGGGCCATGGGCCCCCAGACAGGAGCTCTGCCGAGGTGGAGGTGGCTGGAACCTGAGTGGGCGCCGTCTCCACACTGAGGCGAGGCCCTGTGGCAGGAGCCATGTCTGGCTGTCCCCGCTGCCTCCCCGGCCCCCAGCCCGTGCCTGGTGTGTCATGGTCACAGAGTAAGTACCATAAGCAAGTGAGGGAAGGAGCCGGGAGCAGAGCTCTCTCCACCTGCCCCATCTGCCTCATCACGCAAGTAGAGGAACCGAGGCTCAGAGGGGTTGAGCAGCTGGCTCTAGTCGCAGTGTGAACCAGGAGCAGGAAGGCCCTGTGTCAAGACCTTCTTGGTGCTGCCTTTGCACAGAATGGTCATTGCCGGAGTCAGAGCCAGGCTGAGGCTGTGGTGAGGGGAGGGTGGGCTCAGGAGGAGCGGCTTCCCTGATGGGATGTCAGGAGGAACGGAAGCCAGTGGGAGCAGGGTTAAGAATTCTGTCCTTAAAAGCCACACACCTGGCATCCATGATCCCCACAGCCACTTGGTCCACTTGGACCCTCAGTCTCTTTCAGTGTACCCCTAGAACGCCAGGAGAACCCAATTCACCATGGTCCTTCAGAACACGGCCCTCCCTCCCCCAGTCCAGCCTCTGGCCTTCAGGCATCAGGGCACAGTCGATGTCTCCCTACAGCATACCAGGGGCTGCCCTGCTAGTCTGAGATGAGTCCCACCCAGGTCTGCCACCTTTTGGAGTCTGGGGAGATAACCTTCCCCCAGGCCCCAGTTTTCTTATCTTTGTAACGGAGTAGAGGCAGAAGTACTGGTGTGGTTGTGCATGTGGGCACCGGAGGCCGGGGTCCCTGGGCCTGGTTCTGCTCCACCCCAGTCAGCTGCGTGGCCCCCCACTGCACCCGGGAGTGTGGTCAGGACCAGCCAGTGATGGGGTAGAGCGTCAGCCCAGCCTTCACTGCCCACCAGAGTCACCCAGGGGCTCTGGAAAAGTCCAGAAGCCTAGTCTGCACCCAGACCGTTAAGTCAGAATCTCTGGGGGTGGCACCCTGGTGGGCATCGGTATTTCTTGAAGCCCCCCTTGATCCCAGTGTGCAGCCAGTGTGGAGGCGGCAGTGCAGAGCGCTAGCGCAGTCTGGCCCTTCAGCTCAGCTCTCCCAGCGGCCAGGTGGGGTGGCCTCCGCCCGGCTGGCCGTGAGGCTGGGACCCAGGGACTCCCCCGCCTCTTCCGCAGCTCCTTCTTCCAGAGCGTGCGGCACCGGATTATGCGGCGCATACTGAGGCGGTGGCGCTTGAGGGCGTGGGGCCCGGGCACCCCGTCAGGCTGTGCCAGGATCGCCTTGGTCCTGGAGCCACCGGGCAGCGTCCTGCCAGGGCAGGCCTCGCTGGGCTGCAGCACACCCTGCAGCTCACTGGAGAAGGTGAGGGGCAGGTGGGTGGAGAGGATGGGGATGGGGCAGGGGACAGGGACCCAGGACGCCACACCCCCTTCCTGGGCTCCTGGAGACCCTCCCGGTGGGCTTTCTGTGGCAGGTGGGCAGCAGCAGGGGCTGTGCCTTCTGCTTTGGCAGGTGCCGGCCCAGCAGTGCCGGGGCGCAGTGAGGTGGTGCCAGCGCACCCTCCAGAGGCGGTAGGGACCCCTCCGCAGGTCGGGCCAGCCGTGCTGCCCGCCACTCTGTGGACTTGCTGTGTCCTGGCCGTCTCTCCCAGCCATCCTCGGCCTTCACAGCAGCAGCCCCTCAGGGTCTGCATCCCATCCCGGGGGGGGGGGCCTCACGCCTCACACCCTCGTCAGCTGGGCCCCACACTCAATTCCTCCTGTCCTCCCGGGAGGGGTGGGGTGGGCTGAGGCACTCTGCAGGGCCACGCTTCCTCCTGGAGATTTCACAGCTGTGGTTCATTCATTTATTCATTCGCAGCACAATGCGTAAGAGTTGGCCTGCCTGGGTTCTAATCCCAGCTTTGCCCCTCAGGGCTGTGTGATCTTGGGCAAGTTGCTTAACTTCTCTGTGCCTCCATTTCTCTGTCTGTGAAATGAGGGTAATAATAGTACTCACTGCAATGGGACATCAGCGAGGTAGGGGCACAGACGTCCCCTAGCACAGTGCGTGGCACATAGTAAGCACTCAGTCGTAGCAATATTTATGGCAAGTGGCTGAGCACAGGACTCGGCACTGGGGGCCTGTGCCATCCTCTTCCCACCACCCGTCATGTGACCCTCAGAGAGGTGTTTGGCCCCTCCAGTCCCCAGCAATCCACCCTCCCCCTTGGCGGGAACAGAGGGAAGAGCTGCTGAGTGGAGCGGAGAGGAGGGCTGGGCTGGCCTGGGTGGCAGTGCCCATCCTCAGGGTGGACATTCCCCTTTCCAGTGTCCTCCTCAGCTGGAGCCACTGGGTCACAGCCCAAGCGGACAGGAGAAAGCTGGCTGCCCGCTGGGCCTGGGGTCGGAGCTGCAGGGCTGCGCTGGGCCTGTGGCGGCGGCGGCTGGGGCAGTGGCAGGAGGCGGAGCGGCGGGCTCAGGAGCGGGGCTGGCGACTGGCGCGTGACGCCCTGCGCTGCTGGCACTCTTGCTGGCAGAGTGAGTTGAGGACTGGGTCGGGGGCACTGTGGGTGAGGAAGGGGCCAGGGTCCATCGGTGAGACCCAGGATTCCATATCCTGTAGCAGAGTCTGGGGATGGGACCCCCACGGGGCACCCCCAGGACTGGGGTGGCAGAGCAGACCTGGGGGCTTGGCCTCTGCAGGGTGAGTTTGAGTCCCTGCTCTCCCATTCCCTAGCTGTGTGGACCTTTAACAAGCCACTTACCCTCTCTGAGTCTCAGCTCTGTCATCTGTGAAGGGGGGATAGCATAGTACCTGCCCTGTAGGGTCACTGTGGGGATCCGTGAAACACTCTACGGACAGTTCCTGGTAGGTGTCACATCATCCATGTCACCTTCGCCTTTGTCTTCATCCTTGTCATCCTCAGCATCCTCACCTAGCCACCAAGAGACCCTGGTCTGAGCTCTGAGTCGGGGAGAAGTGGGCAGGGTCACGGCGCCCTTAGAGCCCAGCAGAGTTAGTGGGGGGTCTCCAGGAGGCGGCGAGGAGGGCAGAGCAGCGGGGAGAGGGGCTGAGGTGGCGGGAACGGCACAGGCCCAGGTGGAGGGGGGAGGAGCTGGGTGTGCTGAGCTGGCTGAGGCTGCATGTTGCTGGAGAGGCCTGAGGAGTGTGGCCAGCGAAGGGGGGAAGGATTATTCCCAGACAGGTTTGCTCCAGGGGTCCTGGCCTCTGCGCGTAAGGAAAAAGCCATTTTCTTTATAACTCAGTTTGAACCCAGCTAAGTCAGGGTCAGAGCTGGAGAGGGCTCTCTGATCAACTGTATTAGTTATCTATTGCTGTGTAACAAATTACCCAAATATGTGGCCGTTTTTGAACCACAGACCTTTACTGTCTCACAGTTTCTGTGGGGCAGGAGTCCAGGTGTGGCTTAGCTGGTACCTCTGCCTCGAGGTCTCCCACCAGGCTGCAGGCAAGTTGTTGGCCAGGGCTGCGGTCTCCTCTGAAGGCTCAGTGGGGGAGGGACATCCATTTCCAAGGTCACTCCCATGGTCGTGGGCAGGCCTTGCCCTGTGGGCCTCTCTCCAGGCCACCTCATGAAGGCAGCTGGCTTCCCCCAAGGTGAGCCACCCAAGGGGAAGCGAGAGAGTGTGCCCAAGCCGGAAGTAGTCTTTTTATAACCCAATATCAGAAGAGACATCCCATGACTTCTGCCGATTCTGTTTGTTAGAAGCAAGTCAAGAAATCCAGTCCCTGTTCAAGGAGGAGCATTGTGCAGGACATGACCACCAAGACGTGGGGCCATCGGGGGCCGTTTAGAGGTTGCCCGCTACACCAATGCATCGTATTAATAGGCCGGTGGGCAGGGCCTTGATTGTTCTAGAAAGCCCATATCCTATCCACTGGGGTCAGTTGCTTCTTCAGCCCAGTTGTTGCCCACAGTGTTGCCAGACCTAATTTTTTTTTTTTTTTTT